GCTTCCATTTCTGTGCCGCCCCCCGCAGCCCCGGCGCGCGCCTCCCCGCCGGGCCTCTTACTCTCTTTACTCGCCATCTTGCGTCGGGTCGTTCGCCCCTCGCCGCCGCCTCGGACTCCCCTCACTAGTCAAGAGCAGCCCAACCGCAGGCGCTCCTGCCTTTCCCAGGCGCGTCACACACTTCCAGCTCTCGAAGCCCGAGCTCCGTCTCACGGTCCGGGTGCTCCCCAGACGCCGCGTCCTTCTTTGCTGCCTCCTCCCCGCTCGCGGGTACCAAGGTCTGAGGCGCTCTTCTCTCTCTCTCTCTCTCCAAACTTGGAACGAGACTTTTCAACGCGCGCCTCCCAGCCCGCCCAGGCAGCTGAGCGCAGGCGCAAACGCCCTGGGAAAAGTGAGAGGCGGTGGAGGGGCGGGCCTGGGAGCCAACGGCTCGGTTGTCTGGACCAATGACGTGCGGTAGGAGAGTTTCACGCGGCGTTCGGAGGCGGGCTTCGGGCAGGTAGGCGGGGCGTTTCGCGACAGGAAGTTGCCCAGGCGCAGGCGCGAGGATTCGCTCGGCGCTCCCATAGCCGGCCGCGGGGGCGGATGGGGGCGCGCGGGGGCGGGGCGAAAGGAGGCGCGGCGTGCGGGGTGCGCGGGGGCTGCGAGCCCCGGGGCGCCGAGCCCTGGGGCCGCTGGGCGTGGTTGCTGGTAGCAGCGGTGGGGGGCGCGGGGGAGTAGGCAGGCGGCCTCAGCTTAGCCAAGCAAAATCTGAGAGAGAGGAAAATGGTTTCTAGTCTCGAGAGGTGACTCTGCCCTCAAAATCTCCCCCAATCATCAGAGGCTTGCGATTCTCTGTACCCCGAAAGGTTTTCCTCCTGCCGATTGGCCTTTCTGGGGCCCAGTTGAGCTGAGGTGGAATTTGTCAGAGGCAAAGGAGACCTTTTGGAGGCTGCGGGCATTTTGTGATTGCAGAAGCCGCCAGGCCTCCCGGTCGCGCTAGACCTGCGGCCTGCTGCTGGCCGCCTTAGGGCCAAAACTGACTTGCATTCCATTTTCGTTTGTTCTCATATCTGTGGCCTTCAAATGAGATGCCGCTTTTGTGGTGTCCTACCTTTCTTATCTCTGTTCCAACCCGGGACCCTGCTGAGTCATTTATGTCACCTGTGGGGGTCCCGGGGTGACTCCACTTCTAGCGGGGGAAGTTGGGGGAGCGCTACTACTAAAAGCTGAACCCTGTGCTGCCACGGAAATTGGTAGCCCTGAGTGCTTGGGGGTGAAGAAAAAGCAGATGGCAAAGCCAAAGGAAAGGAAAACTAGGGCCAGGAGTTGGGGGTGTGGGGTGGGGAGAGGTGTCCGAATTGCCTAAATGCAAAGAGAGCAGCAGCCTACACCCAAACTCCAAGAGCAGCTCCTAAAAACGCTGCATGATGCGGCCCACGTGCCTTCTTGAAAGTGAGCATGAAGGTTCTCAAACCGAATCATGTGGATTCGCCTGTGGTGCCCATTTTTCGTTTTGGGAAACAGACCCAGGAGTTATTGGGGTGCATGACAGAACCGGTCCTGTACTTTCCATAGGAATTTGCCATCTGGTGTCTCTGGTTTCCAGTATTGTACTGTGCATTATTACAATAGGCCCAGGAATCTCGTTCCTGACTAAAGCAGAGGGGGAAGAGGGCTGGAGGGGTGTTTAAACAGTGCAACCCTCAAGTTCCAGAACACTGGTTGGGAAACCTTTTTTAAAAGACAGTAAATATTTTAGACCTGCGGGTGGCTATGGAACTCGCCTACGGCGAGAATGCTGCCCTCCACAGTATAGATGGGTCTGGCTGGATTCCAGTAAAACTTTACAGACACCGACATTTGAATGACATATAATTTAAACATATCACAAAATACTCTGAGTTTTTTCAGCCACCTGAAAATGGAAAAACCATTCTTAGGTCGCCCACCACACAAAAAACGGGCAGCAGATTAGATATAGTTGGATGACTGTAGTTTGCTCACCTTTGTTCTAGAATAATTGTCTTACAATTCTGCCTGAATGGACACAGCAAGAAGGCTTGTCTGATAATTTCCTGTCTCCCTTTAATACATTCTACTTGTTCTGATGACTTGACATGATTTCCAAAACCTATTAACTGTTTAAAAGGTTGATCCACATGGTGCGGCAGACCACTCCTGACCCGCCCGCTGCTCCCCTCAGCAGTGTACTTGTCAGTCGGCCTGTTCTGCTCCACTCTTGTCTCTCGTGGGTCCTCTCACCGCTCCTGCACCTCTGGCCTGTACCCTAGTTCCATATGCATAAATAAATAAATCTAAAAAAAAAGGTTGAAAGAACATTTAAAGAAGCCAGGCAATATTACTTGAAAATCTTTATATTGTCGTCCTGACCAAAGATCAGAGAAGGAAGTGTGGAGCAGATATTTTGGGAATTTGTAACAATATTGAGGTACCGCCATACACTTTATCTGGAAGTATCATGGACAGCATATTTCATTCACTTTTAATTTTTTTGTAGGTAAATTGCATCTGAATTCTATTTCTCTGGTTTTGGAAGGGGATGTCTTTTTTTCAGCCAGGTACTTTTTTTTATATCAAAAATGTAATACTACTTTACTTTCAAACTGCTTTAACCATTCAGTTTTGGTTTTGCCTTTTGCCCTAGAGAGTGTCCAAAGAGCAGAGTTTCTTAGCTCTGTTCCCAGTCTTTTCTCTGCGGTTGTCTTTCTGTCTTTCTTGCCCTCAGCTGTGGGCTCTTTCCCTCAAAGGCCCCAGTTAGGTGTCTGTCTTTAAGACTGCTTACCTTTGAGTTGCTGTGGCACTAACCACTTTTCTCCTTGCCCACAGCCTTTCACTTGTGTATGCACTAGAACAAATGACACCAACTGTGCTCCCCTGCATGTCGGTGAGGCACTCTAGTATTTTACTTCATTGTTTAAAATCTGCACATTGCTCTCTACATTGATTTCCTGATTGCACTTAGTCACAATTTGACGTTTACAAAACATGGACTAGGATTATGTTTGAAATCATTATCCCTGACCATTCTTTATAAAACAGGCAGTCATTTCCTCTCCCCTTTCATTTTTTTTTTTCCTTCTAGCACTTAGGAACTCCTGACAAATGTTTGTTCCTAGGCTTTTCCTCTAATTAGAATGCAAATTGAGGGCGGAATCTTTGTGTTGTGTCCGCAGCACCTGGACTAGTGCTTATCAGATGAGGTGGCTAAAACAGAGCGCATGGAAGTTTCTAGCCAAGGTCAGGCCGCCAGGGAGTGTATTGGAGTTGGAATTCGATTTCAGCCTTTACAGCAAGACAGCAACAGTGATTGCATGGCATAAATTGAACTGTTTACCAAAATGAATGAGAGCGGGAAATAATAACTAGCACAGCTGCAGTGTGATTTCGTGTTCATTAGCAACCCTGCTTGGTCTTCCTGGGTTTTGGCGATAATCTTCGCCATTCAGAAACCATGTTGGAGTACCTGCTGTGTGTCACTGTGTTCCGGGAACTGGAGATACCTGAGTGAGCAAGACAGAGAGTTCCTGCTCTCTTATGTGTTTCTTTGTTGTTTGCTTTTCTTATGTGAAAAGCAAGGCTCGTTACAGAAAATCTGAAAATGACACAAGGAAAAGCAAAGCTAAAGAATACCAGTTTTGTTTCTGGCCAAAGTATTTCCATCCAATCCATTAGGAGTAAAAGAAAATACACACACACACAAAACACCAGTAGCTATTTTGTCTTGGCTACTAGTATTAGGATGAGGGTTATTCTTCAAATATTGCTTAATTTACAAATTTTCTCCACTGGACAGACAGATATTTATAAAGAGAAAAAAAATCCCACACATTTTAGAAAATGTATATAAAGAAATGGTTGGTGAGTAATATCTTAGTGTGATAGAATTCCAAGTAATTTCTCTTAAAATGTTGTTTAATGCAATTATGTAAGAAGGGAGAATTATGCCAGAAAACACTACTTTTTGAACTTGTGCTTTTTTTGTGTGATATTTATTAGGTAAAATGAAGTAATTGTTTTATACTTATGCATGCGTAACTATTTAACCTTAGTGGGGTCTCCCTCTGGATTTCTGAAAGGCCAGCCTACCCCATTGTGCTAGCTGTTAAGCAACTTGAGCTTGGCATTGGTGGCAGTGAATAAAGGAAATGACCTAGACCAGAACCCCTGGGGCTTAGACAGGATCGCTGGGGCGTAGTAAATAAATATTTGTCAAACCAAGAATATTGAATAGGACACGCCCCCTGGGTTTGTCCCAGTCCACATGTAGTGATAAGGAAGCTTCATGTGTAGCACCTTCTTTTAGAAGAATTACTCTAAGCATTCTACCCCAAGTGCATTGTTCTTTTATTCAGTTTAGTATGCAGTGCATTGCAGTTTACAACTGAAGGCCTCTTATGAGGCTCACTCACTTCAGAGTTGGTTGTAATTGCTGGCTGCCATCCATTCATTCTTCCTTCTCCAGGAAATAGCAGGCTAAATTTCTTGTGGGTGAGTTACTCTTCCTCCTTCGCCATATATTCTCCTGAATAAGGAACATGAACCTGTATTTAGATTCTAAAAAAAAAAAAATAACCAAGTTTTGTTTGGAATTGTATAAAAGCTATACAGGAAAACACAAAGTCATGCTAAATATTTCCAGTAGAGTAGATTCAATGTAGGAATTGGGTATGATGAGGCTGAAAGAGGGGACGGTATTTGTCATTGCTACCTGTACCCCCAGGGCTGATATCCTAACTGCAGGAAGCAGCTACCATGCTTAGGGCTGGGGAACAAAAGGAAAGAAGCAAGGCAATCCCAATCCGGAGTTGGCAAAAAGCATTTTGCAGAGCCTGGCCCTAGTGGCACCACAGAGCACAATGCAGGAGGTCAGCTTACCACAAAAGCATCCTTTGCTTTTAGAAGGATCCGTGATGGTTTTTGAAAATAGATTCCCTAGTAAATTGGAAATTTTCAGTATATCTGTGGCTGAATGTAAATTACATCATCATTCAAACCTGTAACAGATTCTCTGACCCTATGGATGCATCGGAAATCAGCGTTAATATAAAGATAACTTAGTCATCAAAAGGCCTGTCATTGTAAGGTCATTTACAAAATCTTTTTTGAAAACTGCTTTTCAAAATGTGGTAGAAGAAAAGCCAGAGAAACTCACTTCATTGTTGAGAGAATATTTCATCATTTCACTTAAGGGAAATTATATGTGCTTCAAATGTATGGATCAGTTGAGCCAACTTTTATCTGGAGTTTGAAAAATTATGAATCTTCTAAGACTTAATAATTAGAAGGGGAAATTACTATACAAGTAGCCAAGCAAATTGTTAGATGAAAAATGCATCTATGAATGTTCATAGCACTTTTCCTTGTAATAGCTGAAAACTGTTTTGTATTCCTGGGTAAATATACAGAAGCAGGTATTTGTATTATTGCTTTG